TGAATCATATATGAATATGAAAGAATACATAATGTCGATTGAAATAGTATTCAGGTTTTGTGATTCTGATAAAAATTAGCTTGAGAAAATGATTGATGAATTCAATTTATTCATTTTCAATATTTATAAGAAGTCGCTAAAAGTCAAAAAATCTAATTCATTGTTTTTTTTATGTTGTTAATTTGATTATATCTGAAGTTCGATAAAAAAATAAATATGACACAAGTGGAATATATGATAGTTAAAATTGGATCGTCATGCCTATCAATATGTACTTATTCTTCACTAATACTCATATCCTGAGGCTAATAAAAAAATTTTATATTAATAAGATCAAACTTCATAATTGCAGAACAATCACGAAGGATAACCATTTTTTAACTATCAGTACTCAATGAAAAATTAAGTAATATATACTTCGAAATATTATTCCTAGTCAATGTAGTTAGTTTAAATTAACCTCAGGTATTCTACTATTATGATCTCGTAGGAGTATCTACATATCTAAATATCATACTGTGACGGATTATATCCGTCATTATCTCCGTGACCTCGGCCATCCATAGAGCATATATGTACACAGTTCATCTTCTCGCTTGCGAGCATGAATCGTGTACATACATGCTTGATCGATGACCTCGGTCACGGAGATATATTAACTTAATAATACAGAAAATCAGTAAATTTGATCTCAAGACTCTAATAGATTAAAATGCTTTAGTATTTAATTCTATATAAAAAAAAGCTATACGATAGTTGATAAAAATTAGCATCTAACGACTCGAATTTTGATTTTTTTTATATCTTCGTATAATAGATCGATTTGATTTGATTGTAATTATTATTAAATATCGAAAGATATTCTGATTAAAAAACTAATTTATAATTTATTTTTCTTAATAAAATATGCATGCTATGAGTGAATGTTAAAAATGATTATCACTAGAAGAAACAGAAAAAAATTTCCTGTTCTATTTTTCTTCTATACAAAGTTCATCATATTTCTTCAGTCTACAAATGCATCAAGGAATTCATTTTTTTCTTCTTTCCTTCTACATTGAAAAAAGAAAAAAACTTTTCTTTCTTCCTTGCTATTGTAAAGCGGGTTACTATAGTGTATTTAACAAACATACTGTAAGAAAAAATTGACACAAAAAGAAGAATTTTTTTCTTATATTGAACTCTCATTGAAAATCAAAATAGTAAATATAACAATTATTATTGATAATACAAATTCTAATTATTATTTAGATGAGTCATATACCTGAAGGACATCAAGGAACATCTATTCATCATATCGGAGTCGTTAAAGGAAGTACACAAAGTAAGCTTATTCTTTGTGTTTCTAATAGGAATTATATGTTCTTTTTTTTTCTATAGGTGCCTACCGTTGTGAGATTCTCGATCGTGAATTTATGTTTAGTGATCAATTGGCAACAGTTATAAGTGGACTTTATGGACATGATATTGCTGAAGTATTTCCTTTTTTTTTATTTATTTTAATTCTTTTACTTTCTTCTAGCATGCACATTTTTATGTTGATAAAAAACGTGTTAATCGTCAGTCATTATTAGACGACCATCAAGGAAAAGATGTACATGTTTATTATGCGGATCATATTCACGATCCGAATCGGTATAATATTTTTACAATTGGATATTGTTATATTATTACTTTTTTTTAAGAATTGGTTCCTTTACTATTCCTGTACTTGAACATCATTTGACACAAAGACACCATGAAACTGGACATATCTCTTAAAATTATATTGCTTCTTAATATAATGAACTAATTAATTGATCTTTGTGTTAGCTACTGTATCTTTTATTTGTTGTATTAATAAATAAAATTTCAATTATAATTATCGTTTCAATTTAAAGAACAAAATTGACTTTCTTTTTTCTAATTAGACCTTATTGTAAAAAAGAGTTATGAATAAACTAAAAACTATCAGATTGCATGAGTTTTCTAATTCGAGTTTAAATATAAATACTATTTGCAGAATATCTTCAGGACAGCTAAAAATATGAAATATTGAATAAATCGTCACTGTGCTAGTTATAATAATTTGTAACGAAGATATAAATTTGGTATTAATAAATTCCATGTAAAAAAAAAGAAACTTTAGTAAATGAGTGAACATGAGTGTGTGAATATTCTACTTACACGTTCATTTATTTATTTATGAAGAAATGATAAAATGTTTTGATTATAATAAACAGTCAAATTTCATTTAAAACGAGAAAAACTTGTATTTAAATTATGAACGATGTATCCAACTTAATAGAGATAAATTCAAAGAAATTCATGAACAATTTGAAATATATTCAAATGCTATCAGCTATTCCTTTTCCTCCAAAGAAGTCACCATATTTCAGGATACCTATTTAATTTTTTAAACCATGAGATTCTGAATAACAAGTCGCTTTACCTAAAATATAAAGTTTTATCAATTGAGAAGACTTTATATTTATTTTTACCTTTTAATATCACATAGAATGAATTACTAATTTCATCTTGATGTTGAATAATTTCACCTTTATTATATTATCTCAGGTCGATGTTTTTGAACGCCGTTTCCGGCGTCGTTTAAGGCATGAAACGACTATAAAACGGATAAATTCCATACATATAATAGTAGAAAGTTTAATCCAACTATTCATTCAAGTACTCAACTATTCAAGTTTTCAACTTTTAAAGTTAATAGTAGGCGCTTCCAACTATTGGTGCCTAGAAGAGTGTAGAGGAGAGAAGTAGCTGAGTGCGGGTGTCCAGAAGGGTACACGGGGGGGGGGGGGAGAACGAAGTGCGGGTGTATGGCAGCGTACGGATGGGGGGAGAGGGAGCAGCTGAGTGTGGGTGTCCGGAAGGGTGCAGAGAGGGAGCAGCTTAGTGAATAGTTGGAAGCTTCTACTAATAACTTTAAAAGTTGAAGAGTTGGACCGAGTTAACGAGTTCTACACTACTCCAGACCTCAGATTCAAACTCCCCACAACGAAAAACCTCTAGAAATGTCTTTTTCGAAAAATTGATTTTCAATGTTTTTTTGACCCTGTGGACATAGAAGCAAACAATTTATGTTTACTGGACTCTTCTCTACGAGAAAGAGAACAGGTCTGATAAATATTAAAAGGGATGATTTGAATTTAATTTCCCATTTGTATAAAATCGAATAAATAATATTTTTCATTTAAATTTGAATAAGTCAAATTGATTGACTCTAGAAAAACAAAATTCGGTGATATATGAATATAGACGAATTGAATTTATTTATATTTCGAAATAAAATTCTTGATTACAATAATAGACTAAATATACTAAAATACATTAAAAACTAAGGCACGTCTTATTATTATTTATATAGACAAATTAATGAGATAAATTATTTTTAAATATATTAAAATATAAATTGAGATGATCTAATTCTTGTTTTTTGTTCGTACGAATGTAATTAATAATAAATGTGAATTTTTGATCTAAATCTTCTAATTTATCTTTAAACATAATTTCACTTGCTGTATTATTAATAATTAACCCTCTTTGAATTGGATCAATACCAAGAACACCAGAACCAGTAAAAAGAGCAATTATTGTATCAATTGAATTATATAAACCAATAGATAAAAATATTGATAATAAAAAAAGTTTATCAGATATTTTATTAATAAAATTATCAATTTCATTTAAGAATTTATTTAAATATTCTTCTTTTTCATATTGCTTAAATGTATCTTTTGTAATTTCTCTTTGTTGTTTGATTTTATTAAGAATAGTTTCAATATCAAAATCATATTTTTCTTGAATTGAATTTATATTTAATTTTAAACTATTAATTTGATGTAATTCTGAATAAAACCATGCGTATCGTCTAAAACGACTTATTTCATTAAGTATTTCAGTTAAACCATCGATAGATTTATTATAAATTCTTATTAAACAATCTTCATATATTCTTTCTTGTTCTAATATTGTATTTTTCACCTAAAATTGAAATTAAATATTTTTTACCTAGAGAGAAGAAAAAAAACACTTAACATGTTGCGAATAAAAGATGTCGATATACATCTAGATTTGAATCAACTCGTAACTATCTTATACAAAAGTTCTTATAGCATGTTTAGCCTTCGTATTAATCGAGGTCATCAATATGTCATCACTCATTTAACACGATGATATTGTTTATATTATATTCTCATCCATCTTCTTTTCTTTTATATAAAAAAGATTTTCAATAATTCTCAAATTTCAAATTAACTGTAGAGATTTATAGGAAAAAGAAAAATTTCATTTTATTTTCGAATATTACGATTATGATTTAAACGAGAGTAGATAATTAAGAAAAAGATTGAACTAATCAGGTCTTATTCTATTCAATTCCAAATACTTATTTAATAGTTTCTCTTTCAAAAATAATCCTATCAGTTTTCAATTAATGTAAAATCCCTTGTTCTAATAAGGATACGTAATTCTGCTTTTCTTTCACAAAAAATATTTTGTCAGAAAAACAAGATTTTTCATCATAAAATTATAGAAAAAAATGCTACATTGATTTTTCTAATCTATTTTTTATGCTAAATGATAAAATCTTCAATAATTAATAACCAAAGATTCTGAATGCGATAGTAAAATTAATTCAAATACATTAACTATTGATATAATAGAGAGACAAGAGACTAGGTAATCATCGATTTTGAGGAGACTAAGATTATACACAATAGCTACTTCAGTTATATAATAGAATTAAATCAAGAACTATCCATGTATATGAATCAAGAGAATATATAATTAAATAAAAGGATTATTAGTTCATAATAGAAAAAAATCTATTATTAACATATAATTGTATACAATCGATTAAAACTATTCTATTGCTTATTTCTCGATGAATATTTAATATTGATTAAATTAGAAATTTGATATTACTAAACTTACATCCATATATTAAAAATTGATTATTAGAAGTTGAATAAATATCTCTGCATTATTGTGATATTAGAAGATTATCTAGAAATTAGAATTAATAACAATGATAACAACAGTTGTTTGTAGATTAAAACAAATGTTACTGTCATAAATAATTACTTACTAATATATCATAGAAATAGAAAAATGACAGGACATTTAAATAAATAGCAAATATTAAGTGTATAATAAATCAATAATCAAAAGATAAATTTGATTATGTAATATTCGAACTTGTAAAAAAACTCAAGTATTATATAGTCAATTTTTTATTTTTTGACTTATTGATTCTATATTATGAATATTCGCTTCTTTTTTCAATTGAGCTAATCAAATCATATATAAACTAATAACATATATAGTAAAGGAGATATTTTCTAACGAATTCAAAGAATAAGAGATTAATTAAATATAAGATTTTAATCTAACATAGGATTTTCTATAATTTTAGAATGATATTGAAAAATAACGTAGAATTATATTTAAACTTAAAAAGATAATATGGAACTTTAAAGATGGAGAATGTCAAGTCATCTGATGCTAAAAAAAGTATCTGGTGTCATCTTGTAGAACTCAATCTAGAATATATATGGAAATATTTTTTTTTCCATTATAAAATTCTTCGAATAGTAGTTGACATTTGTCAACGAAGATGTCACTAGTCGATGGAAAATATTCTTCAATTTTCATTATTTATTAATCCAAATTTTCATTTAAAATTGTAGATAGAAGTAAATTCTCATATTATCAAATTCTGTTCACCAACAACTTCTAATTGAAATAATCGTACTAATCATAGATCAAATGTAGAAGTAGAAAATATGACGCTTACATATATAATTGATAAAAACTCAAAGATTAATTTAGTTTTAGTTTCTCTATAAGATTAAGTAATTTTCTTTATTGATTTATTAGTGTATTTGACTGTGAATAATAATGGTTGTAAAATTAGTTTTATCAATACAGCTTATTGTAAGGTGCAGATGAGTGCAAAGCTTACGTTTCTAAGAATATTTAACTAAAGAACCAAGCATTGGTAAACATAATAAAAAGTTCTTATATCTTAGCGAGTGTAATATTATTTTATCAGATAAAATTCTTGCAACACAGAAAAACAAAACATTAATCGTAAAATGATTCTTTATCTCGACAAAAAAAAAAGAAATGAAAGGAAGTATTATTCATTACAAACACAACATGTGCTTTTGAGAATTTCGATTCTGCGTAAAGAATGTAAAAAGGTAAGGTTAAATTTAATACAAACTGCATTTTTATATAAGTTAATAAAATCTTCTAAAGTTTAAAATAATTCTAGATTAACGAATAACAATATTAAATTGAAATTTGAAAATATCTTTTTTATTTTAGA